AGAAGACTGAAAATGAAAAGATTGTGTTTTGTTCAAACTGTTTCTTTTATAAAGGAGAAATATTTGAATGAAATTAGGAGTAAAATAAGTCACATCCATCTCAGTCAACCCGTATAGAGCAACCTATTTTGTGACGTCATAACTCATACTTTTTATTATCCTTGATAAAGGCATAATTACTGATTTATCTAGAGGAAAATAGTGTTTTGTTAATTAGTTGTTGTACGATATAAATACGCGTGTTTGTTGGCATTAGGAAGTTCTTATAGATCAGCTCAGAAGATGAATGTAAATGTTTCTTTTTTAAAGTAAACAATTACGACCAGTTTATTTGAAATTATAAACACATCTAGCCAGTCATGGTTGTTTTATTGCCGTGAAAACCGCCAACAGGTGTATAATGGATACCTTATTCACTATCTGTATTCAGTGAGTTCTCAGAGCATATTTGAAAACAGAAGGTGGGTATGGATATAAAAACTATAAATAACTTCTGCCTGGCTTTAACTATATTAGGGTGAAACACTTAAGATATGGTTTGTTTGTTTGTTTTGAATTTCGCGCAAAGCTATACCAGGGCTATCTGCGCTAGCCGTCCCTAATTTAGCAGTGTAAGACTAGAGGGAAGGCAGCTAGTCATCACCACCCACCACCAACTCTTGGGCTACTCTTTTAACAACGAATAGTGGGATTGTCCGTCACTTTATAACGCCCTCACGGCTGAAAGGGCGAGCATGTTTGGTAGGACGGGGATTCGAACCCGCGACCCTCGGATTGCGAGTTGAGCGCCCTAACCACTTGGCCATGCCAGGCCAACCTTAAGATATGGATAATAAGGAAATGTAACTTGCACTTGTTGTTTAATCTCATTCTTTCCCTAGTACCCTTGAACCATAATCAGCGAATGCTGGTGGGATAAAGTCACAGTGACCTGCAGCTGCTTAGTGGTGAGATAAAGCCACAGTGACCTGCAGCTGCTTGCAAGAGGGATAAACTCACAGTGACTTGCAGCTGTTTGCTGGTGGGATAAAGTCACAGTGACCTGCAGCTGCTTAGTGGTGGGATAAAGTCACAGTGACCTGCAGCTGCTTAGTGGTGAGATAAAGCCACAATGACCTGCAGCTGCTTGCTAGTGGGATAAAGCCACAATGACCTGCAGCTGCTTGCTAGTGGGATAAAGCCACAGTGACCTGCAGCTACTTGTGAGTGGGATAA